TTAGAAAAAGATATAGCATGTAACTTTTGTACTGCTATGAATCAGGATGTAAATACTTTTAGAGATAGAAATTTCCCAAGGGGATAGTGACGAAACACCTGGCCAAGAAATGCAGTCACTTACAGAGGCATGACCTATCCTATATCAATGAATAATTGAGACAACCATACACAGACATGCTCATAAATCATTCTGATATGGATAATCCCTCAATTGAGAGTCCATTCTCAGATGACTAACTAACTAAACTGTTTCAATTTGATACTCGCTGTGAAAATATTACCTGAACCAAATCAAGTACATCATGACAGAAGAAGATAGTTAAACAATGGCTTATCTTGTATAGATAACAACCAAATAGAGAAGATGGCCTGGTTTTGATTTTGCCCTAAGAAGTCATACCCCATTACTTACTTATTTCAAATAAATTCAAATAAAATTTCCCTTCTAAATTTTCTAGCATCTCCTAATGACACCAGCTTCTGTGGATCAAGTATCCAACAAATGAGATTTGCGGACATTCATGACCCAAACTACAGCTCCTCATCTTACACTGGGCTGAGAAAGGTTTCAGAAAGGACTTATGGGACCCTGTGTGATCTTCTACTTATAACAAGTATTATTTCCCACAATTCACCTTGAGTCCCAGGTTTCCTTCCAGCTCAGTCTTCTTCTGCTTATTTTCTCTGCTTTTACATTTAATCAAAAGTGCTTTAGGCTCATAGATGAATTGGTAACTTTATTGGATTTTGCAAGTGTCAAGTGAATGAAACACTAAGAAATAAATCTTAAGAGTTTATTAAGTGCCATAGTTAAGATGAGTTTATTCTTGCTACACTGTAGTATGTGAATACTTTCTAAACTTAGTATAGAACATTGTAATTATTATTAGTTTTCTCCCTTGCTAAGTCAGAACTTCTTATTTCTTTGCCAATACTACCTTGTAGCACAGTGGTATGATAACTTTTAATCAACCTGTTCTGTCCTGGCCAGAAGCCCAGAGTATCCTTGTTTCTACTGACAGTCCTCTCTTGGCCAGAAGTTCTGTCTTGGATGGAGGCCCAAAATGCCAGAATGTTTTTGGCAGGGAGCACTGGTTCATGTACTGAATCTTTAAAATTTTTTGACTTGGTTAATCTCTCTTCTCTTTCACAGCAATCTATTGAAATCAGTTGCCCAAAAGCTATATATGAGAAGATGCTTCACTGACTGACCTTTAAATATGTATGGGTGATGGAGGAAGTCCTGTGTATATGTCAATAAAGCACTTTTGGCCAATAGGGAAGCAAGATAGGTGGGGCTAGGAGTCGAGGAGGATTCTGGGCAGGAGAAACACAGGGAGTCACGATGTAGCTGCCATAGGGATAAGAAGCCTGGAAACTTCTGCAGTAAGAGAAATGCTTAGATTAACAATTATGGAATAAATACTTAATCCGGGATAGCCAGTAAGAAACAAGCAAGGCCAACAGCCCCTGTGTGCTTATTTGGGAATGATGCGGCTCTGGAAACAGGCTGGCAGGAAGGCTTCTCTTTACATAATGGTGTCAGCATGTGGGATTGAATTTCCACGTAGAATGACAAAAGCTTTAAAGGAACTTTAGAAACAAAAGAATGGAGAAAAGCATGGGTTGTTGGTAGCAGTATTTTCTCAGGTGGATTCTGTTTTGCTAGCAACAAGCAGAGACTCATGCGGTTTTGCTTAAGAGAGTCTTCCTGACTCAGCATAAGTTAAAAAAAAAACCAATAAGGTTCTTTTAAGAGACTCTGATAACAATTGAAAAGTGGGTATGCACAGCTGGATATGGCAGTGACCACATCTCCAAGCTGGTAGCTTTTGCTGGATCTCAGCATAGACTGAGACAGTGAGCTGAAATTACGCTTATGCCTGCCATCTTGGAAAACCTGCAGTTTAAACAGCCACGGTTTAAACAGATAAGACACTTGGCCAGAAAAACATTAAGATTTACAGTAAAGTCAGATTTGGATGAAGAAAAACCTCTAAAGGTTTACAGTGTGTTTAAAAATATACATAGGATTGAGAAAGAAAAACAAATGCCATATACTGATAAATAATTAGAGAAGCTAGCTGTGATGGCACACGCTGGTAGGAATTGCTCCAGAGGCAGAGGCAGGCGGATTTCCAAAGAGAAACCCCATTTCAGATAAATAAATAAATAAATAAATAAATAAGTGAAAAGAAATAGAGTAATAATAGATAAATAAGCCACGTAAAGATGGAAAATACACAGAGAGTCTGTATACTGTATGCTATTGTGTTTTTTCAGTTTTTTGATTGCTAACGAAGGAACAACTACTAAAGTACACTTGATTATAAATGCTGCTGAATTAATTCAACTTATATCTTTTGAAAATGCCTTGACTTCAAAATTTAAGTATAAAGATATGTTACTTGGGAAAGGAGTTTTTGTTTATGTTTCTACAGAAAATGAAAAGCTGAGGATTCCTTCCAGGCTTCTGTGGTTTGATGAACCAAGACCCCCAAGAAGCAATGGCCCAAGTGATTCAACATCTAATACAGCTAAGATGACGCAGTCTTACAGACACTGAAACTAAGGACTTATACAGGTTTCTGAGTTTTGCCATGATCCCCATGGTAGGAACAGTGCCCCCTTCCAGCACGAAGCAGTTTGGAATGACCAACATCCAAATCCCTATATTGTTTACAAATCTTTGTTTTCATTTGAATGGGGTTGTTTATAATTGGTTAATGACCACAACCAATCTCTTTTTAAAGGAAAAAGGGGATTATGATATGGAAATGAATACTTTGTATTGGCATGGTTTTTCATTTACTGAGACAAATTCAAGGTCAATTTTGTGATGTGTATATTTCTCCTCTGGATTAAGTATTGTGCTTATACTGATCTTTTAAAACATAATGCATAATTCAATACAGACTATAGATAGTTACTTATAATAGTCAGAACTTATAGTTTGGTTAGTTAGGTTTTCTAGATATACAGAAATATATTTGAGATAGATAGACAGTCTTCAAGCCCTTCAAAGACCTTCAGAAAATGGCATTTAAAATGGTTTAGGGTGTTTCTTGACAATGAGAAGTTTCTGCTCCTGGCAACACCTATTATGTCTGAGAGGAAGATGGGCATCGAAGAGACTCATTATGGAGCTTGCTTTCAACATGGCAAGATTAGCCATTTGGGCAAGAAACTGCTCTTACCTAGACTGCTTGCCTGTTGCTGTATAAACTGGACATGCAGGACCACAGGAAAGTAAATGCTGAACTCAAACAATCCTTCATGGTTCCTGCTTCATGGAAGAGTCTTTGAGACTTTCTGCAGGACCATATATTTGAATGTTTGATTCCCAGTTGTTAGACCCTTTACAAAGAATCAAGAGGTGTTTCCTTGTTGTAGGAATTATATTACCTGGGATGAGCTTTGAGGTTTCAAATGCCTATTCCAGGCCAAGGTCCTCCTTCTCTGCCTGAGCCTGTGATCAGTATGTAAGCCCTGAGCTTCTTCTCCAGTGCTCTGTCTGCCTATCTTCTGCCATGCTTGCCGCCCTGCTCCCTGCCACGATGGTCATGGACTAACCCTCTGAAACTGGGTCATGATGTTTTCTTCACAGCAATAGAACAGAAGGCAAGACACTAGTAAAATCTTGGGTCCCTTTTGAGTTTGTTTCCTTAATGAAAGAACTTTAAGATTAATTTCAAATTAAGACCTGATGATAATTTTATTATCACTTAAAAGGAAGACAACAGGACAGAGAGGCTATAAATCTCCATAGCTATTGAGAGGAAAGAGGAGCAGGAAAGAAAGGAAAAAAGTAGTTTGTGAATCCACTTTGAGAGTGGAGGAAGATTGTGTGGATTTGTACACTTATGGAAAACACCATCTATCTGGCACCACCACTGTAATACATACTGACAAAAAACTTGTCACTCAGAGTGGAAAGGATTCTATCCTATGAATTTACCAGGGTGAATCAAGACTATAGAGAAATGTGGGCACATTAGATCATATCAGGCATACTAAGCAGGGCAAACAACTTACCAGACATGCCACATTGAGAAAAATATGTAAGTTGGCCAGCTGGTCCCTGTAAAGTGACACCTAATATTATGCTAGCATGGCCCCAGTGGCCTGTCATATGATACCCAATGTGCATCAAGAATCACAGAGAGAGAACTCCCAATGTCCCTGGAGCTTCATTTCAACTTAGTTGCCCTGTCTCCTTGCTGACATGGCCTACTCAACTGACATCTGCTCACTCATCTGTTCACCCATCCACCTGCTCACTGCTCTGGATCAAGCCTTACATCTTCATCTGTGAAACCAAGTACATTTTCATTCTCAGTTGACTCTGCTGAGGTCTAATCTTCCATGAGAATAATTAAGATTCATTGTATTATCAATACAGATTGTATATGCATTTCTATGTGACCAATTATGAAGCCTCTTAAACACTGCATGACCTTTCAAACTTATATTATTCTTTTTTTTTCCATATATTTTTTATTTAACTTATTACACATGTCACTTTAAGTTCTCTCTCCCTCCCCTCCTCCCCCACTCCCCAATCCTCCCAACCCATCATCCCCACTCCACCCCCCCTCTGGTCCTCAGGAAGGGCAAGGGCCTCCATGAGGGATGTTCAGAGTCTGTCTCATCATCCCGGGAAGGGCCCAGGTTCTTCCCCTTGTGTCCAGGCTGAGAGTGAGTATCCCTCCATGTGGTATGGGTTCCCAGAGTCCTCCTGTATGACCGGAATGAATACAGCTCCACTCTCCAAGCTCCCACAAATTGCCAAGGCCTCCTCTCTGTCACCCGGGTTCAGTGGGAGGGTGTCTGGATCAGTCCCATGCTGGCCCCTCAGTCATCAATCTGGGTCCATGTGTTCCCCCTTGTTTAGGTCAGCTGCCTCTGTGGGTTTGCCAGCCAGATCTTGATTCCGTCGGTCATCACTCTTCTTTGCAACTGGGTACTTCCCACTTTCTCCTCTAAGAGATTCAGTGTGGCTGGATTTATGTTGAGGTCTTTGATCCATTTGGACTTAAGTTTTGTGCATGGTGATAGGTTTGGATCTATCTGTTGTCTTTTATGTGCCAGCATCCAGAGGTTTCAATCTGTATTACAGAGTTGTAGAAACAAAAACTGCGTAAAACGATCATGTTGATCACTAGAATTGAATCAAAGATCCAGACAAAAATTCACACATCTATGAACACCTGATTCAATCAAAAGCTAGAAATATACAAATGAAAAAAATTTAAAAAGATACCAGAAAAATGGAAAGATCTCCCATGTTCTTGGATAGGTAGGATCAACGTAGTAAAAATGATAATCTTATGTATTCATTCTTAAACCACATTCATGCATATATATGTATTTACTATGCATTGCATTTTGTGTAGTTTGATAGTTGATATTAATAATTAATATCAAGGTCAAAGAACTTTCACTAGCCTAGGGCAGATCATTAAAGTGGGTGGGATTACCTGGCAAATTTCTTCTATTTTGTGCCCCTTGTATATTAGTTACTATTCGACAAATTTAGGTGTAACAACAATCTATATTGCCCCACTGAGATTTTACAAATGAAAGCAATCATCTTAAGCTCATGTTTCAAATAAAGTGAGTTTACTTAAGGGAAAATTATTTACACGGAGATCAAAGTTTTCTGTCTATGAGGCAGAGATTAACATCAGGGACTTTCTGCTAGTTCCATTTTGATGCCATCTCTTTTATTATGAAAAAAATTTAACTAAGGTCAAGTCAACTCTGATTTTCTGAGATGCTACCCAAGTCCAGGCACTAATACTGGGATGTGGTAAACTAGAAGGACATTGAGAGTTTTACATAATTGCATTGTAACTGCAGTTCCAAGGAAGTCCAGAAGTATTACCATTTTATGCTTAACTGTTAATCTGTGTTTCAAAACCTGCTGCTTTCATTAAAAAGCTATAATCCTTTTGTGAAAGTTAGAAAATTCCCTGGATCAGAAAAGGCAGGAGATGGGACATTTAGAGAGCAGACATAGGTAGTAAGTTAGAAAGGCACAAAATGGCCTTTCTGAATGCTCATTCTCAGGTATTGATGCCTTATGTGCTCATGCAATTGTTTATATGGATGGCTTTTGTTGCTAATTTTTGTTTATTTGATAGAGTAATGAGAAGGGTTTCTCTCCACTCAGCTGACTATACTACAGTGTTAGACAACCAATCACTACTAATTCAGTGTGAGCCACTATCTTCCAGGTTTGTTGTCTCATGCCAAGAATTATGAAATGTAGACAGTCAAAAAAAGCAAATGTATATCTGCTAAGAAAAACTGAGAAAGACTCCGCAGATTGAGAGGAGTTCAAAGCAGGATACCGCCATACTGTTCTTCACAGTGGTCTTCTACAGAACGTACGGAGGGCAGTTGATGAAGATGGAAGCAATCTTGAGTTACTCATTCAATAAAGAGCATGACCACATGTTTAGTCACCTTAATCTACTTCCTTGTGTCATTTGACATTTTTTACTAGACCTTTCTTTTTTCTATTTTTAGAGATTTACTTATATCATTTTTAATTATACATTTATGTGTATGTACAAGTGCCTGTAGAAGCCATGAGAGAGGCAGACCGTAGAGCTGGAATTATCAGCACTTTTTGCTCTTTTTGGGATGGATGCTGAGAAACAAATAGTTTTTTTTAAAGAAAGGTGTTTTTAAATGTTGTCCTCTCTTTAACTCCCCACTTGTTGCTTTGAGCCATTGTCCTGGGTTTTTTAAGGGAGGGTGATTCTTTGTCCTGACTTTTACCAAGACTTTAAACCTGAGATGGATTTGGCAAGTTACTACCAACAAAGTCCATACAGCACAGTATTGTAATATCACCTTAAAGATTGGGGTTAAAATAATCTGAACCCCTCTTTTGTTTTCCTTCTTCCTTAGAAAGATGATAGGGAAAGAGAAGTGATATGTTATATTTGGTATCATTTAGAGCCCCACATAAGAATGAACTGATGAAGATCAATTGTCTTACCAACTGCTACATGAACTAGATTTGAAGTTGGTCCTGTTTGTACTTTGAGATAGCCATAACTCTGGCTAACATTGTGAAGACTCTTGGAGAACTTTGAGACAATGAACAAAACTCAGTCATGGTTTGCTTTCTCCATCCCAGAAACTGTATCATAAAACTTTAAAGGTTTGAAATGTTTAGTGCAGATATCATGTATTTGTTGTGGACATCACTGTAATCCAGAGCATATATCAAAAGTGCATCATGAAAGTATTCAGGAGCTGTATTTGTTGTTTTTGTTGACAAAATTCCTTGACGAAGGTAACTTAAAATAACAGCTTTGCTTTAGCTTTCTGCTTGAAGATACAGTCCATCATCATTGGGAAAGTCATATTGCAGGAGCTCTTGAGATAGCTGGTCACATTACACCCACATTACACACAATCTCTGGCCATGAGCCAGAGACAGATGAATAACAGTGTTCATCCTGCTTTCTTTTCTTTATATTGTCCATGACTCAGGCTCCCATGGGAAACCATCCTCATTTGTGGTGGGTCTTCACAGTTCAAAAGAAGTAAGCATGAATATACCTTACAAACATGCTAGGCAAAAGCTCCATACTGATCCTAAACCCAATTAATCTAACAGTCAAGAGCAACCATCACTGCAGCAGATGGAGTCTCACCTTTCAGTTGTGTTCAAGAGTCAATGGATCTGTCAAGCTTTCAGTGCTCATCAAACTCATTGGAAAGTGGCTACATACAAGTGGACACCCAGTCTCTTACTTTTCCTTCTGAGTTAGTTTAGCTGGAGTGGGGGCATATGGATGAAGAGGTTTTGCCAAGAATGATGGAATATGCCCCTAATCACTCAGGGAAAGAGAGACAAGAGTATACCTAGTTCAAAACCACTCTGAGCTCCATGGTACCTCAAACAAATAAGACATTTGAAAAGCTGCTTAGCCCTCATCAAGTTTGCATTCATTGCCCTAAACTGTTGCAGCCAGTTTGGAAAAGAACTCAAAAAAAAGATAGTGGATAAAACTCTTCTACAATTAAATATCTTATTTGCCTAATGATATGGTGCTTAATGTATCACATGTTCTAACTGGTCTTAATAATAAAACTGTGGAGTCAGATACTAGAGGATGAAAGCTGAAGGATCAGAGAAAAAAAGCAGCCAGTCTTTAGAGCTCTTACCTTGATGAAATCCTCAGACTGAAAAGAGGCTGAGCACCTGTCTCCTTCTGCTTGTCTGTATGTACATACCTCCAGACATCTATAGTTAACTAGTTGCTACCTCTGCCCTCTGGTCTTCAGGCAAGCTTTATTTGTTAGTGTGTAAGCAAGATACCACCAAAATTATCTTTTGGTTATAAATAAAAATGGTTATAACTTATATAAGAAAAGCTATGTACAATAAATACAATAACTATATATGTATATAGGTAATAAATACATAAACAATGTTGAATCCATTAGCAATTAACAAATTCAGAAAAAATATTCCATATCTATCCCATGTCACTAAGTCCAAAAATTGTACCTAATTCGTTTTCTATTCTAACTTGCATTACCAACACAAATTTATCTTTTTATGTCTCTCAACCTTATACACCTTAGTGAATTTCTTTTCTAAATATGGCAACAAGGCAACTTGAACTATAAAATCTTAAACTCCATCATAGACCTGAGAAGGAAATAATATTACTTGAGTAAATAGAAATTGCAAGTAATCCACTTTCAAAAAAATGTGAGAAATAACAGAAACATCTAACTGTATGGATAATCACCCAAGGTTCCTCTACAAAATTTGCGCATCCATCTTCTGGCATGTACAACTAGAATATCTGACAGACATTTCTGTGATGCAGGATTTTCTTTCTTTTTTATTTTTGTTTTTTCTTTTATTTTTTTTCTGAGACAGCATTTCTCTGTATTGTTTTGGAGGCTGTCCTGGAACTCACTCTTTAGACAAGGCTGGCCTCAAACTCACAGTGATCTGCCTGCCTCTACCTCCCGAGTGCTGGGATTAAAGGCATATGATGCCAACGCCCAGAGAAGCAGGATTTCCTGAAGGGCTGTCCTACCTTCTCTTCACAAAGCTTGGCATTCACATTCTTTTGTGTCCTGCTTGCCCAATTTGAACAGCAGACTGACAGCAGTTAAAGCAAGAGCACTTTCTTGTCCAGTGGCTCACTTTTGCCACAAAGAAAGTAAACTCTGCGTGGAGTTTCTTTGATGCACATTATCCTCTCTGAAGTATATTGGTGCTGTCAGAAGCAGACATGTATTATTGTCATAAAATAAAAAACCTGTTATTAAAATGTCTTAAGTGTCATGTCCTGTAGATCTCTGAAGTGTTCGAAGATGAACTGTCTATATAAATATATATCTGTTTGACATTGAAAACATACTAATATGACTACAAATTTGATTGTAATGACTAGCAACTGACATGCTTTTCTTTAGTATCCTAAATAGTTGATAATAATATCTTTCAAGGGCTAAAATTTTATATTACATTGTTAAATTAATTGCATAGTTACAGTACCTTTAATAAGATAAGAAATGTATGTACAGTATATTCTAACAACAATTATCTTAAATTTGTATTAACACATAAAAATCCATATCAATGTAAAATATTTAAGACTAGTACTTGCTTTTTTGATTTAAAAGTATATTCAATAATCTATCCATTATCCTATCATTTCTATATCCCCCCTTTTTTTCAAAACAAGAACCCTGAATCATTCCAATAGCAACTTGTAACCAACTGCCCTAAATAATGACAAATATCCGTATCTTATTGAACAACCAAAACCACCCACCCCACCTCTTGGGAATATGGGTATTGTGTTCTTAAAATCACTTCCTGCTGTATCGGGGAAACAACATACTTAGGGGATTCTGAAAAGAAAAATTTGGGTTAATTGACAAGTCCTGGGAGAGGTATCATTTCTTGTCCAGTCTCTGCATAATGTGCAAGTGCATAGCTTGTCTCAATTCCTGGCTTGAGTAGACTATGAGTCTGAATCTCTCAGCTGGCCACCTCACAATTGTCCAAAGCTAGTCTTTGGTGGTGGTTTTCTGATGTTATAACAGTTCCAGTGGA